ATCGGTTACGTATGCTAGTGGAGCGTATAACCGTGGAGCGACGACCTTGTGAAAATTGCAGAAAGTGTCTGTCACAGGACAGGACTGGTTGCTAAGGAAATCCTTAGGGGAAGCCTTTAATCATCAATGGGAAGTCTTTTTACAAGCTTTTATTTTTTGACACAAAATTGTACAGTAGCCGACAGCAATTAAGACTGTGATAATTACACATTTGCTCTTACATTTTGCGCGAACTTGATCTAATCAAACAGTGTAAACACACACGCATACTTCCGTGCGCGTATTCGCGCTTGTTTTCGATCAACTTCGCGCATAGTGTAACTGCGCCATTAGCATGACTAAGGACCCCATAGCAGGCCTGTTCATCTCCGCGAGTTTACATCGAAAACAAAACACGCACGATTGCCCACCTACAGGATACTATTCGACAAGGCCTCACATACGAGCACATTGAACATTGACTCACGCACGCGTATTCTTGTGTATGATGGAAGAAAATAAAGAAAATGGTGTACTAAATACTGTGCAGAATTTAACTGCCTAAATAATAATAAAAACACAGAATGTACTTTTTTAAGTTGCCTCAAGACACTGAGAGGTAAATAAGTAGTTAATATTATTCATGATAATTCATGCTAAATCATGTATTTCCTCCGCCATTTTCCGCAGTTTGGCACCTCACGTCACATCATTTTACCGAAGTCAGCCCTATAGCTTCGGCGCAGTGCCGATCACTGACGTTTGTCAACAAAATGGTGCTTGACTCTTGAGACAGGCTAAATTACACCATATTGTTAATGACATTGAGCATACATTTTTTTAAATACTTTCGCGAAGTAAAACTTCTGTACGTAGTACTTATTATTATTCTGTGGTAATAGGTACATTCGATTCAGGAGCAATTCACTGAATTTACCATGCATTCTTGTATGGTATATCATAAGAATGGGTATACAAGATTGCGTGGTATATTAAACAAGGTAGTGACGTGCTAATATCTAGACTTACATATTAAGGTACTAGTAGAAATGACTCGCATACATAAATTTGAATAACTTGGATTGACCAGTCCCCGAAAGCAGCGCCTGTTCACAGACATGACGAGTGAACCAGCCATTTTTAGCTTGACATGTTGTTGTGTTTGTTATGCCGATTCAATGAAATACAAATACAAATACAAATACAAAATCATTTATTGTGAATCATAGGTAAAATGGAAAAAATGAGGATCTTACTTGCAGGGGCGGAGCCTCACTTCGGGCCGTGCCGGCTGATGGACTTCGAGCTGGAGATGGGCTGCTTTGTGGGCGGCCCGCCCACCGCGCTGGGCCAGCGGGTCACTGCTAAGGATGCAGAGGAGCACCTTTTTGGGTTCGTGCTGCTTAATGATTGGAGCGGTGAGTGAAATTTCTGACTGTGCTGAAATAATGGTCAAGTAGTTTTGACTTTGTAATCTACTATATAAAAATAAGTCGGGCTTTCCTCCCTGACGCTATAATTCCAGAACGCACGAACCGATTTCCATTGTTTTGCATTCGTTGGAAAGGTCTCGGGCTCCGTGAGGTTTATAGTAAAGAAAATTCGGGAAAAGGGGGTAAAACGGGATCCACGCGTACGAAGTCGCGGGCGGCCGCTAGTTTTATTTAAATTTTCTCAGGTCCTCTGATGATAAACATCTGAGAAAAACCTACATTGAAAAAAAAAACACTACATATTATTATTACATTTCATAAACAAAAATCATTGCAAAGTAAAATCAATATTTATCACCAAGATTTTTAGCTCATTTTCAATGGTTATTCTGAAACGCGAGAAATAGGGAAACCATTCATCTTCACTACTTGATTGGTAACGATCGCGGTGTGCGGGATATCATTCAGCACGCCTTTCCTTTGGCCGTTGCCGTACGCTTTATCTCATTTCATTCGTCGATATACAGAGCGACTTATCTTCTAATAAAAATGAGCTAATTATATTGTTTCAGTCAATCTTAATCATAAACAAATTCTTTAGACGCAGCAGTCTACCTTACACATCAATCTGTTGAAGTAGTTACACGCCCGTATTCACAATCGATGCTTGCATAAGTGAAACAGAAAATCGAACGCACAGAGTTGAATAGAGCTCTGTGATTGGTTCGTGTGTCACCCTGACACACGAACTATCCTATTCATGACATTGACATTGGGGCGCCACCGTCAATACCGGATCGCTGGTTCCGATTTTTGCCATGTTGGAAACCATATAGTTAAACGATGGTAGCGCCCCCCTGTCATTGAGTTTGGTGGGACAGTTCAGCGTGGGTCATCTATAGCAGGGTTTCTCAATTTTTTTTGCCAAGGAACCCTAATTGATTATACTTTTCCTAGCGGAACCCCCGTACTACTCCGCCCGCACGCCCTGCCCCTCCCTTGTGCGTAAACAAGTCGGCGCGAGCGAACAACGTCGGTCACGAAACGTGGGATAATATTTTTTACGGAACCCTTGCGGACTTTCCACGGAACCCCAGGGTTCCGTGGACCACCTTTCGGAAACCGCTGATCTATAGTAATGTTTGTGAATACGGGCGTCAGAATCAGGCCTAGCATTGAACATTCATTTCCCTTTCCAGCGCGTGACATCCAGAAATGGGAGTACGTTCCTCTCGGTCCGTTTACCGCCAAGAACCTCGGCAGCAGCATATCGCCCTGGGTGGTCACCGTGGAGGCTCTTCGGCGCTTCGCCATAGACAACTACCCGCAGGAGCCGGCGCCGTTCGCCTACCTGAAACACGAGGACAAGTTCAACTTCGATATCAAGCTGGAGGTTGATCTGAAGCGTGAGTAGTAATGAGACGTATTCGTATTTGGTATTAGTGATGCAATGAATACTACTTTTACGAATACGGATATTAAATATACTATTCGGCGAATACGAATATCTCTGTATAGTCATGAAATACTCATAAATTGTACTCTTTTTATTATGGTTAATGTTTTAGTATAAATAAAATTTACAAATGGCATTTTTTATCACTTTGTTATTAATCACAAAACAAAAATTCCGGAAGAGAACTTACTTACTACTTTGTATACTGACCGGGGTTTTCCCGTCGTGTCGTTGCTATAGTGTTCGGAGACACACGTGCGTGACAAAATTTAAAAAAAGTAGGTATTCGTATTCGTTACATCAGTAGTATTTGCCCTCATCAGTTGACGCCACTGCAAAGTAAGATCCTATGGCCTAGTGACAGCCTACGTGCTAAGCCCTAAGGGCACCTAGGCTGTACCTCACTAGTGGCTAAGACAGTGACGGCAACTGCTAGGTGGTGAGAGGACTATAAATAATTATAATCACTAGAGTGACGCCACTGTAGAGTATAAGGTCCTATCACTCGCAAATGAGCCCAAATACGATACTATTCATTTTTTGCATTGATCATTTTCCACCAACAAGGTAGACGAATGACCTTATAAAGATTGCAGGAAGCGGCCAATCTCGAAATCATTAGAGAAAGCCAAATTCAGCAAGTGAGATCCAGTAAAGTGCCATAATTACCTTTACTGAAACTATAGGGGGGAGGCCAGAGGGAGATATCTTTCATCTAATCAAATACCTTTTCATTACTCTGATAACTATCTCGACAATAGATTTATATCAGTACGAAACCCAAATAAAGAAAATCTTTTGTCCACAGCCGAGTCGACGTCCAAAGTGACAACCATCTGCCGCTCCAATTACAAGTTTCTGTATTGGACCGTCAAACAGCAACTGGCACAGCAGACCGTGACTGGATGTAACCTGCGCCCCGGTGATATGCTGGGATCGGGTACCATCAGCGGTGACGTAAGTACCTGCTGTGTAGTATGAGCTGAGACTGCTGAGAGGGGTGTAAGGCTGGTTTTAAATCGCGCTGACCGTCAGCGCTGACAACCGAAATGTATGAAGCGTCGACGCCTAGCGATCAACGTCACTCATGAACGTTCCCTTCAATTACGTACATTTTGATTTGTCAGCGCCGACGATCAGCGAGCGGTCAGCGCTGACGATCAGCGAGCGGTCAGCGCTGACGATCAGCGAGCGGTCAGCGCTGACGATCAGCGAGCGGTCAGCGCGATTCTAAAACCAGGCTGGTTTTAGAATCGCGCTGACCGCCACTACTACAGTACAGTCTACGCTCGGTTACTGTACTGTAGTACTGTAGGGGAGTGGAAATGAACGTTGCGGAATAGAGGCGGATAGAGTGGAGTGAAGATATGTCGCTACATATCTTCACACAATGAATGTGTCGGATTGGAGATGAATGCAGCGGAGCGGAGATAAATGTAGTTGAGCGGGGTGAATGCAGTGGAGTGGAATGAATCAGGGCAAGAAATCTTCCCACATCTCCGCTCTGCTCCGCTTAAACTTATCGTCTCACCTCCGCCTTGTTAAAATCTTATGATATTTTTTAAAAACCATTTTTATCTATCTTCCATAGACTCCAGACTCCTACGGCAGCATGCTAGAGCTAGCCTGGAAAGGCACCAAGCCTCTCCGCCTCCTAAACGGAGAGGAGAGGAAGTTCCTGCAAGATGGCGACACCGTCACTCTCCGCGGCTACTGCGTGTCAGAAGATGGCGTCCGCATTGGCTTCGGAAAGTGCGAGGGAAAACTGCTGCCTGCTATACCTTTTGAAGAATAAACAAACTGTTTCTCATGTACCTTATTAAAGTTGTTTTAAGTTTTACGAATGTCGTTTTACTTGTTTTTGTTTTGTGTGACTTTACATCTTACAAAAACTGAGGCTAAATGTCCCATTATTTAAAACTCATTGTATTATTTTAAAATATGTTTCATTTTGTATTTGAATTAATTAGTAAGTTACAATAACAATGCTTAAATACTTCTAAAAAATGATTATGAAGGAGCTTGTGAAATTTTGTAACATAAGAAATAGAAAAAGTACACAAAGTGTAACATTTATTTTTGTATGACAACCCAAAATTGCTGTCAAATTTGACGCTGCTCTATTTTGTCGATGGGATATGAAGAAAAATGTTTTTGTGTTTACTTTGAGGATTTGAAGCATTTTGAAGAGGATTTAGTAAAAAATGGTCTGCTATTGCTGTGTAAAAGGGTGTAACAATAATAGCAACAGTGCTAAAAAGGACCCGCGAGCTATATCTTTTCATGCGTATGTAAAAAAAGTAAAACTTTGTATTAACCAATTTTTTATTATAACAAAAACAATCACGGACAAAAAAAATTGTTATAAAATAGGCTCCGCCCACAAATCTATGGCTCCGCCCCTTTTCATCACAAATAATTAAAGAGTATTCCAAGTTCAATTAATATTCAACTGTTCACTTAATATTCATTTGCTTAAGTTGTGTGCTCTTCCCGCGGGTGTCGTAAGAGGCGACTTAGGGACTACACATCAAACAGAGAATGGGCAGCAGCGCTCTCTGAAAAACATCAATCTTTTAAACTGCGATCTCCAACCCGCCTGCCAAGCGTGGAGATTATGGCAAAACCCTCCACTATAGTGGAGGAGGCTCATAGTCCAGCAGTGGACTGTAAAGGGCTGTTGATGATGAAGTTGTGTGCACTTTATTAATTAACTACATGTGTATTGACTGTCCTAAATGTTTTTCAATACTTACTGTAAAAAATAATTTACAGGTTTCCATCAAATTCTGAGCTGAGGCAGAAATGGCTTAGGGCTATAGGCCGACCTGCTTGGAACCCACCAAGTCATGTCCGCATCTGCAGTGCTCATTTCAGCACTGATAAAATCAACCAAGACGGCTTCAGGACCCGAATCAAGGAGGACGCGTGTCCGGTCAGCGCTCTACCTGTACGTAGACTCAGCTGTTTTGATACTTAAGTAATTCTTTACCAAAATTTATTATTGCCTATCTACTTTTCCTTATAGCCCAACTCCAACTTTGAAGCATCACACATAGAAGTTTGCAGAATATGTTTAGCCACTGATGTGAAGATGTTTAGCCTAGAAATTGGGGTGCTAAAAAACTGTATGGAGACAATAACAGGTTTTAATGTCAGTGCCATAAAATTTATTTTCCTTTCTTAATTAATTACTTTCTGAAGACTAATTGAAATGTATGTAACATATTATAATTAATTCCAGGACAATAAATGCCATATAGAAGGCCTCCCACAATTTGTTTGCTATGAATGTGCGAGACATTTGACCAATTTTTACAATTTGATGGAAAAGAGTATGACCACACAAGCAACTTTACTGGATATTTTTGCAGAAAATGCTCAGGTACTTGGCTTTAGCATGACTGTGAAATCAGTTGAATTGAATATCATTTTGTAAAATAAATAATAATATCATGTAATTTAATAATTACAGATTACAAAATCTTTAGTTAGAAAGAGAGATAGAAAACATTTGAATCTGCAATCTCCACTTAGTTTAAATTATTCAATGCCTTGTCATTTCTATGAATATGTTTATGATGAAAATGAAACTATTTCAAATCTCAAGACAAAATATTTCTCTGATAATAATGTAAATTTCAAGGATCTTCAATATTGTCCAGTGAATTTTAATGAAGATTATAAAACAGAAATTATTAATCAGACAAATATAGAAGCAGACATTAATTTTAAAAGTGAAGAAGCTTCTATAAAAATGGATGATGAAGACACAAACCTTGGAAGTAGTGACAATGATGATATTGATAACTTATCTTTTAATGAAATCAATAAAACGACTGTTATAAATGATGTTAAAGAAACTAAAGAACTTCCTCTAGTTTGTAAAAAGGAAAATAAGGTATGGAAATATTGTTGTGCTACTACAATTACTTAATTTAAAAAACCAGAGGAGAAGGAAATAGTTTCGTTTTTTACATTATAACATTTATTTCAGAAAATTAATTCTCCTGCTCTGAAAACTAGAAAAAAGTTTAAAGGACTCAATGGTCTTACTGCTGATGGGCTTGATATAGGAAGATATTTCAATATTGTGAAACAATCGGTAAGTTGTTTATTACAATTGAGGAGTGTCTATTCAAAAGGGGATATTTACATTTTTACTATTTATTAAACTGAGTATGCAGTCTTGTTCTTAGTGCTGAATACTCACTTTCGTCACTTGAATCTTAATCAAAACGGGATATTCTCCCAAGTAAAGCAGCTTCAAATATGAGTGTTCATTTCAGAACAGGATATTTACACTTACAAAATTAAAAAAATAATAGTTATTTTTCATTTCATAACAAGAGAGGATATTTACAATACAAATATTTACACTATACCAATTAGCCGTTTCAAAACGGGATATTTACTTTTATAGATGACCCACGCTGAACTGTCCCGCCAAACTCAATGACAGGGGGGCGCTACCATCGTTCAACTATATGGTTTCCAACATGGTAAAAATCGGAACTAGCGATTCGGTATTGACGGTGGCGCCCCACTGTCAATGTCATGCACAGGACAGTTCAGTATTTTTGAACTATACATAGTGTTTTATTTCCTTTAACTTTATGCTTTAGGATTTATTTTTAGACATTTTACTCTGTAGAACGGAACGCAAAATTAACGTAAAACGGAATCTATAGTTCCAAAATACTGAAATGTCCTATGCATGACATTGACAGTGGGGCGCCACCGTCAATACCGGATCGGTAGTTCCGATTTTTGACATGTTGGAAACCATACAGTTGAACGATGGTAGCGCCCCCCTGACATTGAGTTTGGTGGGACAGTTCAGCGTGGGTCAGCTATATGTTGTGTGATTGTCTGACACCTGCCCCCTTAGACAAAACGCACTTTTTGATCGAATCGAAAATCGAATCCGTCAAAACTCCATACAAAAAAGGGGCTTTTCGACCACTTTTCGACTGGTTTGCGATTATAATTTGCACTTTGTCTAGACCTACTGATATTGGACAAATCAGTGGGTCTAGACAAAGTGCAAATTATAATCGCAAACCAGTCGAAAAGTGGTCGAAAAGTCCCTTTTTTGTATGGAGTTTTGACGGATTCGATTTTCGATTCGATCAAAAAGTGCGTTTTGTCTAGGGGGGCTGGATTTGAATGTCTAATAATTTAAAAAAAAAATTCTGTTTAGTAGGGTCTTTAATTTTGGTCATTATTATTATTAAAAAAAAAGAATAATCTGTGTTTTATTATCATTTAAAATCTTGAGATGTACAATACAAAAGAGGATATTTACAAAATAGTAGGCTCAACTAAAGGGGATATTTACAGTAAGTACAGAACAAAGGGGGATATTATAAAAGATCCGTGTCAAAAGAGGATATTATGATTTTTCTGAACTCTGTAACTTTAAATTAACAAGTCATATTTTTTGGCAAAAAGTGTAGTTAGAACACTGTAATGAAATAGTTTCATAACAGAAATAATGCTTTTCGGTAGGTCTGTAAATATTTCCCATATAAGTTTTTCCCATTTTGTGAAAANCGCTTATTGTAACTCGCCAGATTTTGCTATCTTTTCAAGGCGAGAGTGAATAGGCACTTACAGGGCAGATATGTACCATCCTAGACTGTATCTCACTTAACACCAGGTGCGATTGGGGTTAAATACCTGCCTTATCTTGCATAAAAAAAGATACATTTTGCTTTCATAAGTAGTAAAGCTAGTTCCTACGAAAACCACTACTTATTGGCGTGGAAAAGAGGTGTGACGAATCGTACGTTAAGTACAGATCTCCCTTTTTAATTGGAAGACACAGTAGATTGTTCAATATTATTTTTCCGAAGGCTCTATACAGCTTTACGCTTTTTCTCAGCACCAACCCAGTGGTGACAGGGCAAGGTATATTCAATTGGGACGTGTATAAGCCCTCAAACAGATGAAATTGAATTGAAGAGATGGTCAGACGCGGTGAGGAAGACGGTGGGTGGAAACTTCCATCGTGCGATCCACACAGTTTATGACCGCAGTCTGTGGGGGAACACTATCTGGGGTCGCGATCCTCATCAGTGAGGGACCGAGGAAGAAGAAAATAAGCGCTCTGGAAAGAGTCTAAGTACTGAATAAAATTTACGTGACGTAATGTTTGGCTAAAATCGTAAACATGAATTTAACGAAACACAATTTCACCTATCATCAAACATCGCACATTTCCATTAAACTCTGACTTTTCGATACTGGCAAACTCGATTCCTAATATCAAATCAGGGATAATCTTTCTACTCGAAGAAATACGAGGGTCTTTGGGTGATGAAGATAGATATTGCGAATTTGCGAAGTGGAATGAAACGCCATGAACCATATCGAAATTGTATTTAATGATAGTAATTAGGGTTCAAACAGAATACATTAACGCTTCTCACGTTCATGTCAATTTTAATCTTATTTACAAAAATATTTCGAATTCTTATTTGTGTAAACTAATTTAAAAAAATCATTTTAACACACAAGCTGCATCACCTTTCTGTAACCGTAACTATAACCATAACCGGTGTTTTTGTATGGAGTTTAACAGATTTTTGACGTTTGTATAGTTAAAATAAGACGGTGCAACCCAGCCTTATTAAATACTGGGTGGCTTAAAAATTTATATCCGAGACCTGGGAAATCAAAAGTTGTAAGTTTATTTGATAGATAATCCTATTACGTTATCAGGGGCTTCGTAAAGTAGCGAAACATTGCATGTCCTTTCCCAGTCAGGGTCAAGGACAGTCTTCATACGCGAAGCAATATCCAGACAGCAGGTGCAGAACGAACGGAAAGTCGCAGTCGCATCGTGACCAGTCGCAGATAATGCCCATGGATATGGCGACTGGCTCATCGCAAGTGCGTTGCGATGGCGTCGGCCGACACTCGCTGTCTAGCCGGTGCATGTGCTCGGGGCATTCGTCGACACCTAAAAAGTATAAAACATTTAATAGATGAGTTCATTTCGTACACGACTTTCGGAGTGATCTTCAAACTATGTCCACATTACTCCACATGACGTGATCATGATTTAAACCGGCCGTTTTGTAGCAGCAGTGGACCGACTGTCTTGATCCTTGACACTGATTCGGAGACCGATCTGAAGAAGTTAACTGGCTGGGTTCACCAAGAAAGGTACGGTAAATGTCGGAAATTGGACTGTAACTTTTGTGCTTGAAGTCTATCAGTAACGTTTGATGACATAATATTGAAAAACTTCGCATTTTCTTGCTATCAAACAACCAACTTCAATAGGAATCTTACAATCTCATTTCATCAGAAGTTTGAGAGTTGATAAAATAATACTTACAGGTTCCATTGAATGAAAGACACCCTCTTTCCCCCACTTTTCCGTAATACATCGCTCCGATAAAATTAATTAAACTCAAAATGAGTACAAAAGTCCGAAACATAGCAACCTCACAGAAGGAAGACCTTTCTTCAAGTGGACTTGTTTACTCCCGATGTTTGTGGTATATGTAGATGTTTTTGCCTTTGTTCCTTCCCCTGATCAATAATCGTAACTTCTTAGAAGCACTTGTTCTGAGAATCGGCGATGCTAGATGTGTATGAGATTGGGTGAACTTATTTATTGCATTAGTTTTATCTTGATGTTTTCGTGAAGAGGACTAGTTTCTAAGATGCTTTTAATATTTTCTATCATGTTTGTTTACCTTAATTTCGAACTCCTATGTTCTTCTTATTAATTTCGTTGCGGGTCCAATGACAGTTTAACTTTCCCCCGCGACAAACTTGACCTTCATTGGTTGGGTTTTTATGGCGGTCAAGCTGTAGATCCTGTCTACACAGGAGTTGCAGTGGTGGGAACGAGAGGTGGAAATAGTCCCGTATCATGTTTGTTTATTGAATATGATGAGCAAATATGACATAACTTATTTCAATATTCTCTTTGCCTAGAATATTACTAGCCTAGTCTAGTCCCTGCTTGTAAAAATGGTTTATAATTTCAACTCCCTCGATCAGATATTATCGAAAACACACCCTTTTTCGTGATGTCGGTCGGCTTAAGGGTCTTTTAAGATGCCAAGAATAGATTTAAGTATTCGTGACGAGCGACAATACGGTGAAAATCAGCAGATTGTAATCAGGAAATTCCGTGCCGACTTTCGATCAGTATAGCTTTGCAAAAATTGCCAAAAGTTGAAAGTATATTAGGCAGAGATAGACGACTGCTATAGCTAGCTAATCACTTTAAAAAATTGATTCGTTATTTAATTCTGATGTATTTGTCAAAGAAAATAAAGATATCGAATCAAACTGCGTAAAAGTGACCTCAAAAGACAGAGAATAAGGTCAGATCCATGCTGCTCAGTCAATCAATTGCTGTGATGATTGCTACATTATTATACCTACATATCCCTTTTTGGCAAAGTAAAAAGAGCTATTCTACCTACCAACCATTGTACAAGCAGAATCTTCTAAACTTTAACTCTACGAAATACGAATGTCTTACCTCGTCCAAAGATAAGAAGTTTCGTCCAGTTGTGGCCGAGTTGAAAAAGCAAATTTCAACTTATACATTTTGATGACATGACATTCGCTTCCGTAGCTTCACGAAAGAGGAAATGGGGTGAGAGTTATATTTAGATAGTCATAGGTAGCATGTTTACCGTTTAGCTTTGTCAAAGGATATCTTTTAGTTGTCTTTCTTTACGTAACTATTGCGTTTGTTTCGAAGATATTTTATTTTATTGCTATTCGATATTCAGCAAAAATAGCATTGCGATTTGTGTTGTTGACCTTAACCGCTTTCAATATCAACTCTTTTATTAGTATTTTATTAGTGAATGAAATTGGATTTGTTATTTCAGCTTCAACCTAATTATTTTATTCACGAACGTTTATTGAAATGTTAGGAATCGCTATATTACTTTCTATGATTTTGTTATTTTTAATCTGAAGTTGATATGAAGCTACATAAGAGACTATAAAAAAAACGGGAGATATACCTAAGTGATGAGCTGACAATAGTGACTGAGTTTCTTGCGCTGCTTCTTCTCAGCACTGGCCCATTTATTGTCCTGAAGCAGTGGTAGGGTTAATACT